TTGATCTTGATCATGTTTCTCTGTTGTTGCAGGGTCGGGGTAGATGTTCCTATCCAGCAAGCTAGGCAGGGCCTGCGGGTTATCCGCTTAATTTGTTTCCGTGGGTCACATTTGCTCCTCCTTCACTGCAATAGAACCTTTTCCTCGCAAAATCAACAAGGCTTCTTTCTTGAAGCAATAAAAGTACTCCCTAGCTAGCTAGAAAAGCAAACCTTTCCAAGCTAGCTCAATTCTCGATCGTTCTGCATCATATGTCCTGGTAAAGGCTCTTATCTGCTTTCCTCTGCTTTTAGTGCACTTGCAAGGTCATCCTTCAAGCCTTTAGGCTTGTGGAAATTTTAGTGAACGAGAAAAGCTCTAAATTTTTTATTTTTATTTTTTTTTGGGGGAGAGGGAGCGAGGGAGGGTCATATTTCTCTGACACTGAACACAAATACTACTATGAAATTCATATTTCCGTATTGCATGTGGAGGTGGACGCAACTGATGTTATTAAACCATGAAAGCAGAAAAGCGCAAACAACTACGGCAAAGTGAAATGACAGGCTCATGTTAGTACTTTAGTTGATAGGGAAGGAGGATATTCTCTGCTGTCTTTTCTTTCTTTCTTTCTTTTTTATATACCTTTTTTTTTCAGCTTGTTTTTCTTACTCCTGGTACGCTGCATTATTTGCCCATTGTTCTTGAATATCCAACCAAAATATGAGGTAAATGAAGTCCATATGAATAGACACAAATGTTGGGGAAAACATTTGGAAACTTGTCACCATATCAAAGGGATAAAAAGAATGATAAAACGACTGAGCAAGGACGGGTATAATTCATATACTACAAGCAAACGTCTTACATAGAAACAGAATGAAGAAATTAAAAAATAAAAATTGACATGCCTTTCAAGGCACGGGCTGAATTAATAGAGGGAGGCCCAAGAATTTTACAAATCAACTGCCCTCTTTAGAATTTTAAAAATCTTAATTTAATTATGAATTTTAGCCTTGAGAAACAGGTTTAATGTCATATCCTGACCTTCAAATTTGGGAATGTGATAACCAGTGCAGCATTGTTGTCATAGAGTATTAGGAATACATTTACACCCAAAAAATTGGAAAAATTTTTTCCGCAAAAAACTATCATATTGATTACAAGTCTTTGCTGCGAATCGGTATGTAAAAAAAACATTGTGAATACGTTCCAAGCCAAGAGAGACTACAAGCAAATTAAGGACATCAAAATGATTGATAAACGACTAAATGAATAGGTAGCAAGCCAAGAGAGACTACAAGAGAAGCTACAAGGCACAAGGCGTGTTTTTTTGTCGACGGGGAGTTGAGCAGAAATTGGAGCGGAGGTATCCTGCCATGAAGCATATTTGGTTATGTGGCGCGACCCAATCTTTTTCTGGAAAAATATTACTCCACCTCCATTCGTATTGGACAACAGCTCAAGCCTCCAGAGATATCAGAACTTAAAGAAAGATTAGAGCCATATATATCTTTGTGGTGATCAAGCTAGATAAGTCGATATCGTTTCCTTTTGGCACTGCACCAGTTAGAAGCTCTCTACAGCATCTAGACCCATCAGTGATAAGCCAACTACGACGGATAGCCCAACCGTCTCTTTCTTTCTTTTCTTTTTTTTTGAGAATAAATTATTTTGTTTTGTTGAGAATAGAAAGGGAAAAACAATTTTGTACTAAGAACTCAAAGGGTAGAAAGGAAAAAACAACAAAAGCGAATTAGAAGACGGATAGAGGTGCATGCATTCATGCTGCAAGTGCAATGTTCAGTTCAAAGGATTCTTCCGAAATAGTGGCCTGCATTGCAACTTTTGCTCAATTATCAGTCAGTCAACCCATTAATCATTCCTGTATGATTGGACTTGAGTGTGTGGGTCTTGGAATACATTTGGATTTTGGTTGATAATTTTAGCATTTCCCTCTCATTCCCGAATTTCGATGGGAATGGCGCAGTTCTTTCCCTTCTTCTCGATTCATGTTCTATTGCATCTTTGTTATTGTTAGATTTATCCATATGTAAAAAAAGGATAAACTTCTTGGTTATGAGTTTGAGGAAAACCCCAAAACCTTGAGTTAGTTTTTGAGGCAGGAAGGCCCTGTAATACTGTATCAGAATCCGGTTACAACAACTCCTCGTAGCTCGAATGAAAGGTTGATATACATGTTCTAATGGGATAATTTTAGAAACCTTCTCGAGGTTTGTGGTTATATCACTTACTATTTTTTGGTTTTGAAACATATCACATGCTTCCCCCATTTTTAACTTTTAGTAATATAATTGTCAACCTATTTGAAAATATATTATTAAAGAATTTATTAGTCGATAGAGAGTATACTTTCATTCCAATTTTGCCATTTTCTTGTGAACCATTTTGACTCGAAACAAATCTACTTAATCCCTTAACTTTTGAAAAATAACAAGGTTGAAAGACCTATTAATAATGTTCACATCATTAGTCTACACAAGAAATATAATAAAATTTTAATATTTTAAATAATTTAGAAAACTCATTTATGAGAATTTTACAATAAAGAAAATAACATTTTACACCTTAAAAATACCTCAAATAAGTTTCTAAATGCATGGTTTAAAATTTATCATTTTTAAGTTCTAAAGCCATTGATCTAGACAAAAAAAATTAAAAATTTAAAAAACATGTACACAATTCATAAATCCTTAAATTGATACATCCCCAAGCACTTTTGAATTAAAAAATAAATTTTCTTTAAAGAAACCTTAAATGGGTTTGTAAACATAAACATTTTGTCTTTTTTTTTCTTGGTTTTCAAGCCACCAATCAAAACAAGAAAATCAGAAAATTTTAAAAATTCAAAAAAATTGAGAAAAAAAAACTCTTCAGGTTGACCAAAAAACACTTCATAATAAAGGAATAATCCTTTTGGCTTGAAAACACTATGAATACATTCTTAAAACTAATTTTTAATAACTATTATTATATTGTGTCTATTAAAATTACACATTTGTATGGTTTGCTTTTATGTTTAACCTTTTATTGGATGCTTTCAAAATTAAGTGATAAACTATTCACTTATTATTGAATGTGATATGCACTTAAATGCATTAGATTTAATACTTAACAATTCAATAATTTAATAGATTCAGATTTCAAATTCTAGATTTCAGTTTTATCAAACGCAACTTAGGCGAGATATTAATTGGATGGTACTTCTAGAATCCTTATTTATAAAGTTAAGCGATATCAACTCAGAATTGTAGAATTGAGAGAAGTAGTAAGCACACATAAGAATTTGTGAAAGAGTGACAGCATAATAATCTCTCTCTCTCTCTCTCTCTCTCTCTCTCTCTCTCTCTCTCTCTCTCTCTCTCTCTCTCTCTCTCTCTCTCTTTTTGTAAATTGACTCATTTTATTAATAAGCAAAATTGAGTGTCATAAGGAACATACAGAGTTCAAAATACATCAGAAAGCTACTATATTCAATACACTATTCACCAATCATCAGCTAATGCAATTATGATGATGTCCAAGTTTCACAACTAAATCCCAATTTGCTCTGTTATACAGCGGACAGCATGGTAATCTTACACCTATAAATTTATTAATATCTTAAACAATAAAAGACTAGCAATACTCAGTGTCCACATATTAAAGAAGAGAAAACTTGAACAATGCCAAATTTATGATGCAATAAATCTGGTGAACAAGGATCAAGTTATTCCCAAATAAATTCCCAACTCCTCAATAAGAAAAATATGGAATAATTTTTTCCTACACAGTCACACTCAACATAAATTTCTAGCATCTACAACTTGTAAGGGAGTAATAGTCCTTGTTTCTTTTTAGTAACTGGTTTTTAATTGTGATCGAGCTAAGGTTTATGCCCCCTCTTCAATTTTATTTTTAATTATTATTAATAAAATTTAGGACTGGCATCTCTCCCCCGTATACAGGATTTGCCAAGAAAAAAAAAGTTTCTACCCTTGATTTACTTCTTTTATGAATAATTTTTTGAGCAAATCTTGTATATACTAGTAGTGTATATACTGTCATGGTTAGGCAAATGTCACATAATTAAAATTTATATTTGAAATTAAAATTCAGTATATGTGATATTCATCAAAATGTAATAATGTATACACTACTGTTGGTGTAGAGGAGATTAATCTTTTTTTTTTTTTAATATGACAAAAGAAAGGGCAGGACACTAAACTTGATCCAAGAACCTTATGATTACATTATTAACGCTTTTAAAACTCAAAAGTTGAGTTGGGGTCTGGTGGGGTATCCAACATTGTTGGCGTGTTCCGGACTGTCCCCTGTTCCTATTGGCCCAACTGCACAAGTTACTAAAAGCCCAAGGCGTCATAGAAATCGGCCCTCGAATTAGTTCAAGGGAGAAACATTACTCTGCTTGTGGATGCGCGCGTATATATATATATATATATATATATATATATATATATATATATGAGCAAATTACTTAGGTAGTTATTGAACTTTTCGAATGTTAAGATTTGATTACTCAACTATTAATGATATGTTTTTATCTACTGAACTATCAAACTTATAAATTTTGGGTAATTTTACTCTAATCTCACTGTCTAGTGGTTTTTCGGATAATTTGCTATATATATACATATATATGACTTTGGATGTTTGATGATATTGAGGCAATGGCAAAAACTTGGGTTGACTTGATTTTGTAATAGTGTGGCAAAATTTGGGCCACACTCTACAAGATCAGGTGTTGAAAAATTTGGGCCGCTGAATCTACGCTAAACACCGTGTAATGACTTCAATTTCACAAAACGGGCCGCAAACAGAAGGACCAAACCCAAGAAAGAAGAAAACGTGGAATCACTTTTTTCGGTTTCTACCTTCTGAAATCAAAAAAGGTACTCCCATTAATTAACGAGAAAAGAAAGCATAGATTTAATTGCCAGATCCAATCCAATCCTTCCAAAAAATAAAAAAATTGCCAGATCCAAAAAGAAAAGAGGAGAAGCAAGTAAAACGGGGAGATGAAATTATTCGTTGATAATGGAATCAAGAAGATGCACGCTCAAAGTTTTCAAGTACAACATTATGACAGACCGGAAGAGGTTGCAGAAAAGTGCAACAATTATTAGCGAGCCAGGCCCCAGCCGCTTTAAGATTTAAATAAAATACCACGAATCATGCAACCAAATATAAATACGCATAACTTCCTATGCTCCCTTGATCATTCAGGCACTGTGCCTAGACTAGTCACGATGAACATTATAATGGCCGGCGTCCTGCTGGTGGTGGTGGCCATTGCCCTTCCTAGATACCGAGAGATGGACTCCAGGATCACGGTTGCCGTAGGTGCAGTTGTAGACAATGGAATTGTTGACTCCCTGGACGTTACTGTTCACAAAGGCGTCCACTGGGGGCTGTGGAGCTGCCACTAATTTGCTCCTTCCCATTTCGCCTCTTCCATTCTTTATCCCACCGTCATCAGAATGCCTGCCGTCCTCCTCCTCCTTCTCATGGCTTCCCAATTTCTGGCCATTTTTACCCCAGAAATGTTGCCCAGAATCGTACTTCTTGCGGGAAGCTCCTGGGCTCAATTCCATAACAGCTCCTTTGTTGTCACCTGCAAGTGTTACGACTCTCATACCAAGCTCTGGTGAAGAAACAGCTGATTTATTATTATGATTCTTTTTATCCTTGTAAGTCGTCATTGCTCCTTTGTCTTTCTTAACTTGTCTCTCTTTCCCCCCGGAGGAGGGGGAGGACGACGACTTCGTGGGATCGATCTTTGGCGCCTTTTCATGATTGGTATCATCTTGCGTTAGCACTGTTTTCTGCACAGCTTCTGGGGGTATTGGTTCCAGATCATAATCATGACTGAGTTGCGGCGGAGGCAGTGTTAATGGAGATGGAGAAGGTTTCACAATGGTGGATTGAGCGTGATTAGGAGGAGGTGTACTGCTTTTCACCCTCGGGCTGGGTGCAGCACGAGGTCTTGCGGCGGTGGCTGCAACTGGAGAAGGTGGTGGAGGGACTGGTGCTGGTGCTGCAGTGGGAGGGCCTGAATAGAGCAATGTTTTTGGAGCAGGAGAGGCTGGCAATGCTATTGTTGAAGAGGGCGGTGATGGGGGTTTAGTTTTTGGGGATGCTGATAAAGATGGAGAGGATACAACTGGACGTGCAGCCGAAGACGTTTCCGCTGATGCAGTTTTGATTATTGGAGATGCTGGTGGCGACGAAGATCCAGGTTTAGGAGGGGGTGCAACAGGCGACCTAGTTATGGAGGGGGTAGGGGATTTTGGAGGCGTGGGGGAGGGGCTTGGAGCCGGAGGTGTTGGCGGTGGTCGTGGCGATGGTGGAGGTGCTCTAGTAGTGGAGATCTGAGGGGAGCTTGGGGTTGTAGGGGTTACAGAAGGGGGTGAAGCAACAGGCAAATTCGGTGGAGCAGGTGGCAGAGGCCGAGGCAGAGCTACAGGGGGCCTGAAGGGTGCAATAGGAGGTGGGGCTTGCAGTGAAGGTGTTGGAGCAGGGGGACGTGCAAGAGGCGGTGGTGGTGCAGGTGCAGGTGCAGGTGGAGGTGCTGGGCGCATTATGTTAGCCAAACGGAACCATGGCCGAGGCTGCTGTTGGGTAGACATTTTGGTCTTTACCTGAAATAAAAATGAATCAGGCGGGGCGGTAGGAGTAGGATGCTAGGAAGGAAGGAAGGAAGGAGCAGTATAGTAAGCACTGCGTATTCTGGTCGGGAGTACTATTCGAGTGTCAGCCTGCCCTGCATGCTTGACACTACTCACTACCAAAGGAATTAATGAATTGGGTGAACACGAGCAGTTAAAAGTTCTGATGCACACTCATTTATTTATACTGACGTTCAGCAACTAGCAATTTGTGAAGCGGCGGGTAAAGCGAGACAAATCAACAAGCGTGCATCAATGCGGTGATCCATCGTCAGGGTGGGAAGACAAGAAGAAAGGCATCTGATGCAGCTAGCTGGGGGACTCCGGAGGGATCACCATTCACCAAAAAGAATTAAAGAACCAAGCCTTACAAGAAAAGGCAACGTCGCTTTTGGGCCCATGACGGTCTCAGTCTGATCAGCAGATATTCGGCTCCCTTCTAAGATCACGTTGAAGCTTCAAGCAAATAAACATTTTCGAAACCTTTGTAACGTTGAAGTAAAGGTGTAAATTTGTGGAAGAAGAAAGTAAAGTCCGTTCAGCATCTGTCTCCTCGGGATTAAGCTGTTGTCTGCAGCAACTTGTGCTGCTATTTGCGGCTCATACGCACCAACTGCTGCAGCAACAGTGGTGCGGTGCATATCTGGATGCAGTTCCAGCGCCAGTGCCAGTGCCAGTGCGCTGCTGCTGGCGGACGAATATTTAAGTACTTAAACCGATTACTTTCATGACTTTGCTTTGCATATTGCGCCGTATTATCTTTTGAGTTTCCTAACGAGCACAAAAAGGGACTATTAAGGAAACGCCTTTTTTTTTTTGGCATTGAGATTCCTAAATTCACAATCACTAAACGCCTTTCCCGGACCATTGAACCACAATTCTGTCTCTATCTTTGACTTTGCTTGTTGAGAATGTATGGTGCGATGCCAATTGCCATGCAATCTTCTTCCTTTTTCCTTCGGCTTGGTCCCATTTCTGGGCTTTTCAAGATGCCCCTCAAGAGGGATTCCTCTACCATCCCATCATCTCTACCTTCCTGAAGGGACTACTACTTTTTGCCTTTTTAATGCAGTTATCTCTTTTTGTTTCTGTCGTCTCATTTGGCAATGGTATCACGAATTATTGATTAGTAACTGAATGAAATTTGATTTATTTGTTATGCCGACGTGCTTTCTTCCCTTGTCAGTTTCTTTGATGCCCTCCTAGTCCTAGCCAGCCATTAGCCAATGCAAGGCCAAGAATATTGTACGACTGAAGAGGCTAACCTCTTGAAGACAGATGCTGCGTTCAGCACTTCGGGTGCATTCTTTTACCTGAGAAGGCAACCGTTGTAAAAATTGCATACAGGACATTTCATAAATCAAGTTTATTTAGCAAGAGAATATCATCCAAATACTAACCCTTTTCCTCGTTATTACCATATCTTTTACAAATCCGTGTGACGGATGGATTGGGTTCAGCTCTTTACGGCCTAAAACTCTTTTTGTTTCTTTTCTTTTTAATTATGGACCTAGTACAGTAGGTGCAGAAATTCTTGTTCAAACTTCCAAGCCCCCATGTCCTCACCTCGCTCCCTACCCTTCCAATCTTATTTACTTTTCTCCTGATCTTATTGATAAAACAAAAATCATTTGTGCATCACCATTAGCTGGTAAGGTGGATCGAGGCCTGTAGCTTGACAGCAAATTCAAACAGCACATGCAATTTAAATCCTCATTCAACCAACCATTCTACGCTGTCCTACAATCTTCTTGTACATATATGCATACTATCAGTACTACTCGATGAGAAATGTGTATGGAGAGCAAGCTTTGTTATTCAGCTCTCAGATACTTCAATTTGTAGACCATCTATTGCGGCCTGCAAACACTAAAACTACGGAGGGCACAGTTCCTTTTTCATTCTAGGAGGAAGGAGCTGTCAGACTGGTTGATTATAGTATTAACAGCTTTCGGTTTTATCTTATACCGTTTCATTCCAAAGCCAAATTCTAACAACCTGAATCGCATCACGTCAGAATTTCTTGTACCATAGGAATTAGTTGTTGTAATATCTCCTGTCCTCCTCCTTTTGTACTTTGATAGTAGGGGTTTGTATGCTCAACCGCAACATCAAGCGCAAATCCGTTGCTGCTAAAACAATAGGATAGAGTTGCGATCAGATGGAGATTAATCATTGCCTTGCCAAGTCAGCTCCAGTTTCTCAGCATAGCTTGATTAACATGGAGATTAATCACCCATCTGTCTAACATTCTCTGGTTTCACAAAACTTTCCAGAGAATATGAGGTTGCGATCAGATGATAGCTACAAAATCATACCAGCTTTCTTTTGATAACATGTATTCCAATTAAGGAAACACCAAGTGAGTCAAACTGGATGAGAGTTGGAGGACTCCTCCAGTCGATAAGAGAGCAAGCGTCATCAAAGATTGTCACCAAAATCTATCCTGCAGTTACCGTTAAATACTATTAATTCCGTCGAGTCATTATTAAGTCTTCTCTGCCTTTCATATTAAGTCTGCACCACCCAAATTTGTTTTCTAAGATTTTAAGGAAGGAATGAAAAGATACGAGCATGTATATATCCATTTGGAAAAGAACTTGAAGGGTCATTCAGCTCCAATTTCGCAGGCGGAATTATGTAGGATGAATAATGGTGGAAGAATGCGGCAGGGTTTAGGGCAGTTTCAGAGGTTAGCACTATAACTTGGAAAAAATCACATCGAAAAGAGAAGAGACTCTTTCTTTATCATCCTTGCTTTGCTGTCCAACAACCATGGATCAGAAAAATGACTTCATCTCATTGGTTGAATCACAACTCTACTGCTGCTTCTAATGTAGAAACGTCCTATCACTTCAAGATTTTTTTTTTTTTTTTATTGGGTCTGTCATAAAGGTCAGTTGATTCGTTAATTATTGAATTGATGAGTTGGTGTTGTGTGAGAGTAGTGAGGCTCTTTCTTTCTCGATGGATTGAGATAAATTCATCTCATCTTGGGGTAAGTAAAAGATTTGGGTTGGAATTGGATTAATAACAAGGTAGTCGAGTTAGAGTGTGAGCTAAATTGACGTGATACTAAATTGGATTTGAGTTATCATTATTGATATCGACACATCTGCAATTCCCAAATTCTTCTTGTTCAATATCTTTTTCATACGGATTTTCTCTTTATTTCTCGGGTCTCTAGTGAGTTAACCGACAGAATTCGAAAAGATCACATCTTTGATAATTCCACCAGCTATGATTAAAATTGCGAAAACTTCTGATAAATATCCTACATGTGAACTGACCGAAGTACCGAGGACCATCTTACCGAGATGATCACCTTTTCTAGACATTTCCTAATCTGAGGAGTGGTCGTGTGGCTTAAAGGTCTTGTCAGCCAAGAACACTACGACAAGAAGTAATTGACACGACACCTTACAAGGTTTTGCGATTGATGCGGCTGCCAAAAATAAGATCCGAACTGAGCTATGACGGGCTGAGTGAGCTGAGAGGGAGCGAGTTGATGGGCCGAATTGACAGGGAGAGAACGAACGACCTGTCCTGCAGAGAGAAAAATAAACGGAGGGGGCTAGCTCCTCGGAGTAGCTCCGATGACGGGCTGAGCGAGCTGAGAAGGAGCGAGCTAGCGAGCTGGTCAGGTGAACGAACCGACCTGCAAATGGACAGACGGCAGGGCTAGTTCCTCGGAGCAGTTCCGACAGTCAAATCAGTAGAACTTATGAGTAGGGTAATAGTATAGAGTACTGTAGATGGTGTACCTTGTGTCGTCTTGTGGCGCTTTATTTATAGGTTAGAGGGAGAGAGTTTCCTCATAGGATTTTGAGTCCTAGTCAAGGGGGAATCTTGCTAGGGTTTTACTCGTGGATTCCGAAAGGTTTGGGAGGCGCAGCCCATTAAGCCCACACGGCTTGCGGGGCGGCCGAACTGATGCTCTCTATGTCCGAGCTGCCGTATCATAGCATCCGAACTGACACGTGGCATCCGTAGATTAGTTGGCCGAGCTGACAGGTCATCATGTCCGAACTGACACGTGGCTACTGGGAAATTTGTCCCACTACAGCGACCTATACTGCTGCACCGGCAGACCTATAGCCTCTCATCAATGCAATCTGAACCCTAAAGTCGCCTCTCGTGTTCTACTATAAATACTCTACTTCTTTAAATCCTAGAGATAACTACTTCCTAACTCTCCTACTCGGTAACTTATTTCCGAATTGTCACTCTTATTAAATTATGCATTGGAATCAAACTAGGGGAATAGCCCCGCTTCTGTTTTTTATCTCGCACAAGAAATTAGAACCAGAGTTTGCCGATCTCCAGTCTTCTCGAGAGCCTCAATCATGACTCTATCATGAACCAAATTCTTTCTAGTTAAAAATTATCTCTCTTTGAAACAATTAGGAAATTCTCTAGAAGAAATACCAAGTGTGTAGGCAGTGGACACGGATGAGGAGGTGGAGGTCGAGCATTCTTATTTTCACATATTAAGGTTGTGTTTGGATTGTATTTTTTTAAATTTTTTATAGAAAGATTACTGTAGCAATTTTATATCTGTGAGATAAAAAGGTGATTGAAAAATATGTCCACAAAAAATATAGCAATTTTTCTTTAGAAAATTACTGTCCAAACAGTGGAAGGGCCTGCACAAGATCGGCATCTGATCACCGGCAATCATATGGTTTGCGACGTTTATTGCTCGGATTGCGGAGACGAGTTGCAACCCCACTCGTACAAGCTAAGGTAAAACCGTTCTTGTCAAGTCCAAGATTACCGTGCTTGTTGATTCTCCTCCTTTTTTATTTTTTAATTATTTTCTTTCTTTTCCATTTGGATTCAGTATACGTAAGTGTTACAGTACAAGGTGACGTGATTGATCGTAGCCACCATCTGTTGATTGGCTGTGGGTAATGGGTAATTGTCCTGCAATTTTGATCATGCTATCAATCTCGTCCTTCACCATGCAACAAACAGAAAACATCACCTCACATGACTGCAATAATATTACTAATTGGCATTGCTGTTACAAGTATTTTAAAGGCAATAATTTGGGTCAAGTCTTAGCCGGCGGGATAACCAAAAAAAAGTCTTGGCCGGCCGGCTAACCACAAAGTTTTTCTTAAAAAAGGGATAATTTCAGAAACCTCCCTTGAAGTTTTATAAAATATCACTTAACTCCCTTGAATTTTCAAAATCTCACTTAACATCCTTAAAGTGATAGTGAGACTATATGTCAATATCAAAAGTGAAAAATTATCAATAATATCCTCATATTTAAATTTCCTAAGCTTGTTTTTTCTGTAAATTTCTTGCTTTTCTTTAATAATGTCAACACACACACATACATATATATATATATATATATATATATAGTTGAATTACAAATGTCCACGAATTATAGGATTTAATCAACACACACACACACACACATATATATAGTTGAATTACAAATGTCCGCGAAATATAGGATTTAATCATTGAAATAGTCAATGCATTTGGAGAAGAAGATCGAGCTATAGGTTTTTTTTCCCCTTTTTTTTGTGTTTCATAACTAAGGGTTTGTTTGGATAGGAGTTTATTTGAATGATTTATTTGAGATAGTTACTGTAGCATTTTTTGTGATGTGATGTATGTAAGATAAAAAAAAAGTGATTGAAAAAATAAAAAGGTGATTAGAATTTGTGAAACAAATTATTTTATTTGAAATAATTTCAATCCAAACAAACCCTAAATTTATATATTTTTTTGTTTGTTTGCTCCTATTCATATAAAGCGCCAGAGAAATGAAGTAACTGGAACTCTGGACACCAATCATAATTTTTCAAATTTAGACTTTTTTCTTTTTATAATAAAATTTTTATCTTTCACATCCATGAAAAAATCGATTCATTTCGAATAAATTCTCTATACGATATTAAGGTTGAATTTCATCTATTGTTGAGTTTTTTTGCTCAAATGTACAAGTTTTATATGACAATCGTCCATGACATTTTAGCAGCTCCGAGGAGGAAAACAAGGAGCATATCATTAATAGTAGTAGAT